TATGCCTCAGTTTGCTAGGGTGGTTGGCATCACTTCCGGTTCTGTTTTTCAGTGGTTTGTATATCAAATCCAGTTCAATGTGTTTGCTAATTGAGTTCCGGTTGGAATACCAAGCCTCCAGAAATTCCCCAGCATGTCTCTGTTTGGCTTGTACTCTTGTGGATGTGTTGTCCCAGTCGAATTCGTGTCCTTCTTTGTCCGTGTGTATTGAGACAAGTCGTATCTCTTGGTAGCTAGTTGGTGTTCCTGTATCCTTATTGTCAGTTTTCTTCTAGTTTGCCCTATGTAATGTTTATCACAGTCCTTGCATGATGTTTTGTATATTACATTAATTTTAATGGTTGCGGGTATGGGGTCCTTTACATTCGTCAGTAGCTGTCGCAGGGTGGTTGTTGGTTTGTGGGTTACCCTGAGATGGAGGGGTCAGAATAGTCTGTGATCATCCCTGATATGTGTCTGATATACGGCAGGGTGACTAGTGTGTCTGGCCGTGTTGTGTCTTCTTGTTGTGGTCTGTCGTGGAGGTAATGGCGGATTGTGCTTTTTGGGTATCCATTCCTTTTAAAAGCACTGTATAAGTGCTCCTGTTCTGCTTTGCACAATACCAGATTGTTGCAGAGTGTTGTAGCCCATTTGAATAATATCCTGATGCAGCTCCGTTTATGGGTGTTGGGGTGGTTGCTGGAGTAATTAAGTATCTGGTCCATATCTGTGGTCTTTCTGTATATGCTAGTCTGGAGGTCCCCATTGTTCTTACAATCTACATCCAGGAAGAGTAGTCAATTGTTGTTTTCTTCTTTTGTTAATTTTATTCTGGCTAGGATGTTGTTTATGTGTCGATGGGTTTCTTCTAGTTTTGTGCATTCGATAATCATGAAGGTGTCATCTACATAGCGGACCCAGAGTTGGATTGTATAGTGGGGAGCGCTGTTCTTTCTAACCAGTGCATTGCCACTTCTGCATTCAGTCCTGATATTGGTGATCCCATTGGTGTTGATTTGTTTGAATATACGGTCGTTGAAGGTGACGTGGTTTAAGAACATAGAACATAGAACAGTACAGCAGAGACAGGCCCTTCGGCCCACGACGTTGTGCCGACCTATTATCCCACTATGATCAAGGGCCCTGCTTCACCGGAGGCGCACTGACGATGTTACCTAGCAGGGTGATGAAACATCTACAACCAAACACACTGGCACGGCGAGCAAGTCCACAATCTCAGTGATTTGTTTATTTAGTCTTCTTATTTATTCATTTAAATCTGGATTGTTTATCAGTATGAAATATTTGTGACATTTAACACTAGCTTTCTTAAATCTTTTTTCCAGATGTGTGTAGCTGCCACCTGTGCCTGTGAGAACATCAACGACTGTCTGTGTGCAGGATTGGGAGCGTATGTTCATGAGTGTGCAGCTCATGGTGTCGTCGTCAGAAACTGGAGGAAAGACATCTGCAGTACGTTCTTCCAATGCTTATAGTTTTATGAAATTCTTGAATTTTATTGCTGTTAGCTTTTTATAAAGTGTTAGCTGTTTCGAAATACGTTGAAGAATATAAAGCTATTGCTGTACTTTATGGATTTTTTCACTTCTTTGGCACCTTAGAAGAAACAGTTAACTCTTAAAAGTCTATAAAATATATTACTCTTGGAGGTTTACAATTTACATAAATGATTTGGGGTTGGAGACCACATGTAGTGTGTCAAAGTTTGCGGATGACACTATGATGAGTGGTAGAGCAAAGTGTGCAGAAGACTCTGAAAGTTTGCAGAAGGATATAAATAGTTTAAGTGAGTGGGAAAAGGTCTGGCAGATGGAGTGCAATGTTGATAAGTGTGAAGTCATCTTGTTTGGTAGGAATAACAGTAAAAAGGACTGTTATTTGAACAGTAAAAAGCTGTGCAGAGGGACCTGGGTGTTCTTGTGCCTGAAACGTGGAAGGTCGGTTTGCAGATACAACAGGTAATCAAGAAGGCAAATGGAATTTTGTCCTTCATTGTTGGAGGGATTGAGTTTAAAAGCAGGGAGGTTTTGTTGCAGCTACATAGGGTGCTGGTGAGGCCGTACCTGGTGCACTGCGTGCAGTTTTGGTCTCCTTACTTGAGAAAGGATGTACTGGCACTGGAGGGGGTGCACAGGAGATTCACTAGGTTGATTCCAAAGTTGAGAGGGTTGACTTATGAGGAGGCACAGAGTAGACTGGGATCATATTCATTGGAATTTAGATGAATGAGGGGGGATCTTATGGAAACATATGAAACTTTGAAGGGAATAAATAAGACAGAAGCAGGAGGTTATTTCCCCTGATGGGTGAAACTAGAACAAGAGGGCATAGCCTCAAAATTGGGGCAATCAGATTTAGGACTGAATTGAGGAGGAACTTCTTCACTCAAACGGTTGTGAATCTGTGGAATTCACTGCCCAGTGAAGTCATTGAGGCTTCCTCATTGAATGGGTTTAAAACTAAGATAGATAATTTTTTTTGAACAGTAAAGGAATTAAGGGTTATGGTGAAAGGGTGCGTAAGTGGAACTGAGGCCACAAAAAGATCAGCCATATTGAATGGCAGAGTGGGCTTGAAGGGCCAGATGGCCTACTCCTACTCCTGGTTCTTATGCCCTTATAACGTGAAAACAATGAATGAGGTGATTTATATATTCTGTACATTGTCAATGGTGTAGAGGGCATTCCCTGTAGGAAGGTCTATCTTCAATACAAATTAAAATTAATGTTAGAATTTTCAGCTTATGCAATGCCAGAATTTAAATGAAGCCTACTTATAGAGACACAGAGTCATACATCACATAAACAGACCCTGCAGTCCAACTCGTCCATGCCGACCAGACATCCCAATCTGATCCAGTTGCATTTGCCAGCATTTGGCCCATATCCCTCTGAACCTTTCCTATTCATTTACCCATCCAGATGCCATCTAAATGTTGTAATTATACCGGCCTCCACCACTTCCTCTGGCAACTCGTTCCATTCATTCACCACCATCTGCATGAAAAAGTTATCCCACAAGTCCTTTTTAAGTCTTTCCCCCTCACGTTAAACTTATGCCCTCTAGTTTTAGACTCCCCTGCCTTATAAAAAGGATCTTGGCTATTCACCCTATCTATGCCCTTCATGATTTTATAAATCTTTATGAAGTCACCCCTCAGCCTCTGATGCTCCTGGGAGAAAAGCCCCAGCCTGTTCAGCCTCTCCATTTAACTCAAACCGTCCAGTCCTGGCAACATCTTTGTAAATCTTTACTGCACCCTCTCAAGTTTAACAACATCTTTCATATGAGGTTGTTGACTAGCTCGCCGAGCTGGCTGGTTTTCATTCAGACGTTTTGTCACCACACTTTGTGACCTCATCAGTGAGGCCTCCGCTGAAGTGATGTTGTTCTACTCCACTTGGAATTTATACTGTCTGGTCCATTGTGGTGAGTAGTGTCATTTCCGGTTTTGATCTGTATGGGTTTGTATATGGGGTCAAATTCTATAAGTTTGTTGATTGTATTATGGGTTGAGAACCATGCCTCTAGGAATTCCTATGCATGTCTACGTTTGGCTTGGGCTACTATGGTTACATTGTCCCAGTTAAACTGATGGCCTTCATTGCCCATCATCAAACCCATACAGAACAAAACTGGAAATACATTACTCACCATGACGGACCGGATAGTACAAATTCCAAGCAGAGTAAAACAACACCACTTCATTGGAGGCCTCACTGATGATGTTACCCAGCATGGTGACAAAACATCTGAACCGGTAGGAATCACGGTAGCCCACACGCCCACAGCCACTCTATGACAAACACTCACAAGGTTTAAAGACCCCATTCCCACAACATTTAGAACCAACGTATATCACAAAATACCATGCAATGATTGCTATAAGCATTACATCAGATAGACAGGAAGGAAATTAGCCATCAGAATACATGAACATCAGCTAGCAGCAAAATACATGATGAACTTTCGTTAATATCAGTTCACTCGGACAACAAAGACCATCAGTTTAACTGGGACAGCGTAACCATAGTAGCTCAAGCCAAACATAGACACACACAGGAGTTCCGAGAGGCATGGTTCTCCACCCATAATGCAATCAATAAACATATAGAATTGGATCCCATATACAAACCCATACAGAACAGAACCGGAAATGACACTACTCACCATAATGGACTGAACAGTATAAATTCCAAGCGAATTAGAACAACGCCGCTTCATTGGAGGCTCCACTGATGATGTTCCCCAGCATGGTGACAAAACATCTGAATGAAAACAAGCCAGCTCGGTGAGCAAGTCAACAATCTCATCCACAACCCGAGCTGCAGATCTTTCCGATAGCAAAATTTTCAAATTATTTAAACATATCTTTATAGTGCTGTCTATCTACACGGTGTACGATTAAGAAAATAAATATCAAAACTTGTTGATCGTTCCTTCTAAATTTGATTCATAATGATTTTGTAACACTACATCCAATTGAAAAACAGATCCTTCAACTCACCAGTGGGTGAAAATACTTTAAAAAGCTCCAAGGGAACATTTCTTAAATCATACTTTAAGCAGATTATAAGCATTCTTTATTAAAAGTACGGTTAAAGATTCATAGTTTTAACAAAAAGTAACAACATCGAAATCCTGGTAAAACTCAGCAAGTCTAACACTACCTGTGGAGAAAAGGCAGAGCTAATGTTTCAAAAGAAGGTGTCACTAGACTTGAAATGTTACTGGTTCTTTCTCTGCACGGATGCTGCCAGACCTGCTGAGCTTTTCCAATAATTACTGTTTTTGTTTCTGATCTGCAGTCCTTTGATTTTTTTTGAACATCAAAATCCTACTGTGTATAGAGCAACTGCAGTGGAGAACCCTAAATGGCATCTAATGGCTTGATATAAGCAATCATATCCTTATTCAGTCAAATGTTATAACATGCAAACTGCATTATTCTTTTTCAAAGATCTTTTATTAATGATTGCTTGTTTATTTTTTTCTAGATAACTCATGCAGTTACTCTCAGGTTTTTGAGAATGACATGAGAGCGTGTAACCGTACCTGTAGATCATTATCAGAGAATGATTATACCTGTCGTGTTCAGGATGTCCCGGTTTATGGTTGTGGCTGTCCTAAGGGAAAGTATATGGATGAAAGCAGAGTCTGTGTGGACAGCTCTGACTGCCCGTGTTATGCTGCAGGGCTACTTCTGGAAAAAGGGCAGAGTATTAATATGCACGGCCGATCTTGGTAAGGTACTTTCTAATAATTTTACAAAACATGTAGAAAATAAATACATGTAAAATACATTTCAATTATGACTTTACACTCAGCATTTGCCAAGGTGGAAAACTTCATTGCTCCCCAGTAACAACAACCTCCCGGCCTCCAGGTAACTAACAATTACAGCCTCTTCCCTCATATTAAATAGCGCATGAATTGAACTTCTTAGCGCATTGATGAATGATCATTTTACAAGCTCTCTTTAAATGTTGTCTTCTTTAGGTTGTCCGCATGGGAAAGTGTTCATTAATTGTAAAAGTGAAGGTGCCCCTTCCACTGAATACTCGTGTGAGAGAACGTGTCGAACTCTAAACACACCATGCGTGAGTAACTTCCATCGTTCCAAATATGACTCACTTTTGTTTCCACTTGCAAACGGGGAACTGAACAATTACACAAAATGTGATAAATATTAATAAATTATTTAATGATCAGAGGCGAGTTGAGGGGCAATTTTGCTCAAGTCTGGAACTCATTTCCTGAAACTGTGGTAGAACTGGAAAGTCTCATGCAAGTGCGTCATCTACAGAACTAAATAACAAATGAATGATAGAGATATTCGGAACTGCAGTTGCTGGAGAATCCGAGACAACAAGGTGCAGAGCTGGATGAACACAGCAGGCCAAGCAGCATCAGAAGAGCAGGAAGGCTGACGTTTCG